TCGCGCTGTGATGACGTCAAATGCGCGCTTTCGTTGAGCGCGATTTTGTCCTCCGCGGTTTTGACGGGTCACGATCTGCTACTACTTTATTGAAAGTTACTGTATACCATTCCCAGCTTCAAACTTTCAACCTAAACCATTATCTTTAGGAAAATAATTACGTGTAAAAGGAGTTTACCTGTCATTTGCCGTACCACATGAAGAATGATTTCTACAAGGGATAAAGGGTTCACCCTGGAATAAAGAGGAATTACTATGAATAGATGAAAAATAATATAGGCTTTTTAAAATTTAGTCATGACAAAACTTTTTTTTACCTGTGTTCAAACTCACTGATAAAGTTCTCATAAAGCTGTAAGCCAAAAGAAAAAGATAATTTTAATAACACAGAAGCCCACATATTAAGTATCTACAAACATTGCTACTGAGTACTTTCTTGACAATAGAAATATATATGAACAAAAAAAGGGAAGAACAATGACAGTTCTATGAACAGTAAAAAGACAACATTGGAAATCTGGCAAAATCACTGTCCCAGTTCTACAAAGATATAAAAAGAGTATAAGGCCTTTTCATCAATAGCAGAGACTTACAAAATTAAAGTGTCCATGAAATCAAGGATAGTATCCTATGTGATTATCTAGTTTATTTTAGAAGTCATCCAAGTAAGAAAGTGCACCCCTATGCCCAGGCATTCAAATGGTTTGCCCTTAAGGTAAGAAAGATTCATTACATGCTGCATCGGTATCTTTAAGTAACTGAAACCTGTTAGTTATATGGTAATTCTTTTAAGACAGGAACCTACCGTATTTTTCAGAGTATATTATGCACCTTTCCCCCCCTAAAAGAGCATAGAAATGTTGGTGCGTTTTATACACCAAATACAGTCATTTTTAGCCTCCTGAGTCCTGCCCCCGCATCCCATTTTTCAAAAAAACGGGATTTTTTTTTGCAAAAACTGAGGTTTTTCTGCCTTCCCTCAGCCCCCAAACAGCCCTCTCCAGGCTTCAGCAGGGCTGGGACAAGGCAAAAATGCCATTTTTGAAAAAAATGGGCAAAAAACAGGCCATTTTTCACAAAAACAGAGGCTTTTTTGCCTTCCCTCAGCCCCCACCAGCACTTTTTGCCTTATCCCAGTCCTGCTGAAGCCTGCAGAGTGCTGCTCGGGGCCAAGGGAAGGCAAAAACTTTTTTTTCTTACTTACCTCTTCAAAATCTTGGTGTCTTATACACCAGTACGTCTTATAGTCCGAAAAATACAGTAGTTTTGTGTTCCATTTTAAATGGTATCCTTTCAAGAATTCGAAGAGTATCAAGTTCTCCAATAGGAAGAATATATCCATTTGATCCTTCACTGGATTTGTTTTCAAAACCACTACAAACTTTTTATTTTTGTTATATAACTTCTTCAGTGCCTTACTTCATTGCAGTGGCATTACATGCCTTTCGACAGCAATGTGAATGTCTGCTATAACCCTAAAAAGTAAAATCAAATTACTAAACTGGGATTCCTTTTGGATGTATAAATTACAGTACTGAAAACAATGTATTGCAAAGAAACAGATAATTACTCTTTCCATTTGTTAGGGATGATTCTTAAACAAAGCCATTCTAATTGACACACATTTAATAATACTAGGACATATACCTTGATAAGACCATCTCCTTGAGCAAAGCAGGGATCTTGCACAAAATCTAAAACCTGCAATGTTAGTTGGTGCCAGAGCCTGTAACAGACAAAATAAATAGTATCAATATTGACAAATTTATACATGAGGAAATCCAAACTGGAAATTCACCCTAATACCTATTATATATAGAATTATTCAAAATATGTGTTTGGGTAATAAGAAAACTTAAACAACATTGGATTTAAAATAATGTACCAACAGAATATGTTGCTTAAAATAAGAAAATAACCAAAATAGTTTATCAGCAATACTTCCTAGGAAAAGTCTGTCATTAAGAAATATCAGGGGTCAGGTTTTCAGGGAGCCTCTGCCATTTAAATAATAAACAATACTGAGCAAAATAGACATTACGGAATGGCTTCAATATATCCAGTCAATATTTTACAACAATGTATGTAGGCCATCAAAACCTGGAAAGTGATGTATATATGTATGGATTTATGTGTCTTCAAGTCAATGTTGACTCCTGGAAGTTGTCTGGACTGCAGTTTTTGTGGCAAACTTTTTTCAGAAGTGGTTTGCCATTATTTTGGCAATTCCTACATGTTGGTTGAATCCCCCAGTGAAGCAATATCCCCACCCGTTGTCTAATATTTGAGAACTGGTAGTCAATGCAGAGCAGACAAGACCTGCACAAGGGATTGTACATCAAATGGAAATCTGCTCTGAGAGAATGGAGTCTTATATGCCTGGAATATAAATTTAATGTTACTTTAAAAAAAAAACCCAAAACGTTTTGTTTGGAGCATAAACATTTGAACCTTCTGCTTGGAGGGCAAAGTTAAAAGATCGAACGCTGTGCTGGCATTATTATTAGCTGCATGAAAAGCCCGAAGTACATAAACTAGCAGCCAGCAGACACCCCCAATGAGTATTTCCAGAATAGACCCAGGTCAACAGGATCGGCCTGAAAGCAGGCAGGACGCAACAGGGCAGGGAGTCTTGCCAGGACAAGTGTAATCAGCCTCGCCCAGCATGAAGAAGCGGATAGGGACAAAGCGGCAGGCGAAAACGGAGCGCCCCATCTTAGACACACCCAGCCTGCTGCGAAAAGGAGGGTCTCCAATCTCTCAACTACCTTAGCCATTGCTTCTTGTGCTTCGGCATCTCCCGAGTAAGGCACCCCCACCTCGCAGTTAGCAATGATCTCCTCCCCCCCGCCGCCCTCTTCCCCCTATCTCCAACGCACGTGTATCCATTTGCTTCGCTCCCCTTCCCCCCCACCAGCTTTACTCAACCGATCTCCAGACTCACTTTTTATTGTAAAGCTCCTCCAGCCGGTGCCAAACGGCGGCCTGACCAGGCCCCGAGCTCTGGCTCTGCTGTAGGAAAGCTGGGACGTCCTTCATGGTAGGACCGGGAAGGGAACAGTATGGAAAGAACCGCCGTTCACTCCGAAGAGCAACAGAGACCGGCCCTTCTCGCCGCCGGAAATGCACACTCACTTCCGGCACCTTCAACGCGGAGCATGCCGGGTACCGTATGGCCCTGCGTAGAGTAGCCTCGCTTCAACATTCCGCCCCCTCCTGAGAAGGATTGGTTGGTCTCTGTGCTAAGTTCTCCGAATGGTTACTTGGGGAGTGTTCTGAGCTGCCTTTCTCGCTCGGGAGCCCCCTGCCGGTCAGTTTGCGAAGTGACAAGAAGGCGCAGTTGGTTAAGCTTTGGGTAGCTGCCAGGTGGGAACGCGTCGTCGTTTCATTCCTTTCTATCGCGTGTCGTATCACACGGAGAGCGAGACGTATTAAGATTCATCATTGTTGCTGCCTAGGTGTGTTGACGTTACTGTAGTCTCTCTTGTAGGGGCCCAGGACTCGGTTGCTCTTGCTGGCCATAGATCTTGGGTTCACTCGGAGCAGAACCAATAAATGGGCTGCCCTGCAATAAGGCGCTTTGCTGTTTTCTATACATTCGGGCTTATCTTAGCTTGAGAAAATGAGAAAAAGTGAATGTTAAGAAAGGCATTCCTATTCCGTTCTGTGTAGTTTTAGAAAAGGCAGGTGGCCATTGTGTTTTAAAACAGTCTTGGGAAAGGATTCATGGTTCGCGTTAGAAAAATGCATATGAGGAAAAGTAGAAGATTTTAAAAATGTTACTGAGATTTATTTTGCAGAGTAAAACAGCGCAAATTTAAACAAGAAAAAGTAGGGAAAAGTAATAAATTTTAAAAGGCAGCAAACAAATATAAAGAAGCATCTACTCCTTACAGCAGTTATAAATGCATTTAAATTTATTTTCTATAGATTGGTGATTAGTAGTGAGTGCAATGTTGATAACTAATACATGATTTAACTGATTTTTACTAAATCACAATTTATTATTAATCATGAATTAATTCTTATGTTTTATATGTATGCTTGTCCTTTATATATGTTTTTAAAGATTTTTGTTTTCAAAATTATTAACTCTTGGTAGCCTACCTTTCCTATTAAGAGTTATAATAAAGATTTGAAAAGAGAAGCTGTAATCACATTAAGACTTAGTGAGTATATCGAAACTAAAATTTTGAAATCTTCTAGTTCAGAATCAAAATTAATTTCATATGTCAAAAAACACTGACTTCTGCAATAAATCAACATTTGAAAGGAACCATATATGAGAAGTAGTGTTGTGTTTTCTTCCTCAGTTCTCATATGGTGATGGGATCCAGCAGTCTTGAGACTGAATATACTAGGTGAGTTAAGCAGGCAGTTTTTCACATAGAAATGTGCCAAGTGATAAAGAGCTTTATAGGTGAAGACCAGCTCTTTAAATTTTATGTGGGAGCCCACTAAAGCCAATGCTGTTTTTATGCACTTTATATTGTTCTTTGTATTTAAATGTTTTAACAATTGTAAACTGCTCAGTCACTGGAATCTAGGTGATTTATCAACAATAAATTATTATTTCATGCTTGTAGCATTGCTGTTTTATGGCACTAGTGGCTCTCACCTACCAGCATCTGAACTGTTGTATTTTGAACTAGCTTAGTTTGCTTGTATTTTTCATAGGTAGCTCCGTGTAAAGTAAATGATTGAAGCAAGAGGTGTACTTTGGGAGAAAAGGTGAAATCTCCTTTGGATTGAACACAATTCCTGGTGATTTCATGGGCAACGTCATCTAGTTTGTTTAGCAACATATAGACCCGGCAAGGGGAAATGGGACTGGCTGGATGCCATTTTTTTTTACATTCTCCCCTTGGTTAGGTAAAGGAAACATTGGCTGATTTGGGTTAGTTTTTTAGCATTTCAGGATTGACTGCAGTGAGAAAAAAATAGAGGTGGGTTTGAAGATGTTTCTGATTATTTGGGGAGTGAAAGCAGGCGCCTTTTGGGAAAGCTTACATTCAGCAAGATCTACCCCAAAACACATCTTACCTCCTACTCCAACCCTCACTATTGTTTTGCTTCACCTGTAGCAAGTTCTATGCAGAGGTGGGTTGCAAATCCTGGTGCTACCGGTTCACTTGTGCTTGCATGTACATGCAACACTTCTGTGCATGCGCAGAAGCTTCCAGGTGGGTGGGCAGAGCCTCCCATCACCGCCACTACCGGTTTGCCAGATCCAGGCTGAACCACGAGCATCCCATCTCTGATCCTTTTCCTTGAAAGAGAAATGATGGGGAACAAGCAAAGCAGAGCAATGCCCATTCTACAGGCTTGTACATTGGATAGAAGGGAGGCTATAACCATTTCAAACTCCAGAGCTGTTTTGTGGCATCGGTGGTGCTGTATTTCATTTCTGTTCTCATTTTTTCAGAGGTTTACTAAGAGGGTAGTAGTGGAATCAATCACATTATTATTATACTATACTCAAATACTGATAAAATAGGCTGTCATTGGTCCTTCTATTAGGAACATTGTGGTAAACAATCTTCATTTGTGCTTCCTGGCTGAAGATAATTGAAAGCAAACAGAGCAGTGCTGTTTTGCCCTATGTCCTAAATTAGTCTTTAGAGCACAGCTGCTGGCTAAATGATACCAGGCTTTTATTAGCTCCTATAAAAACAATATTTAAAAAAATCACTTCTCTTGGTTTTTCTTATTTAGGATTAGGCCATTGAAGGGAAATGAACTGGAGGTTGTATTTCAGAGTCTCTGCAAGGAAAACTCTGCTTCAGACTGCTAGTTTACAGAGTTTAATTGGTAAGTCTCACTCTGTTTCAGGTACTGGGAAAAGCATATGGGGTTTAGAAAGGCTATGGAGATTTGTGACAGTAGGTGGACAAATATATGGGAGTTAATATATTATGAAAAATAAAGAGAAAAGTTGAATATAGACAACAGGGTTGAGATCCTCATGTAGTCACTCAAAGCTCAATTTACTTCTTTTTACATTTTATTGCATAAATGTAAGCAAATGCAATGTATGTAATTGCAATATATAATGATAAAACTACTCCAATACAGCAAGTATTAACCATGTAAAATTTTGTTTTGCTGCTACATTATTTGTCATGCCTCTACAAAATGATTCTTCACTTTCAATATTTTCCACCAAAATGTTTCTTAATTATTTTTAGGGTGGAAATCTCTGGATCTCTGGATGTATGCCCAGTACCAGCATTTTAGAAATTATTCCAATCTGACAGCCTGCAAAAATCTTCACTTAATTCCATTCAGATCTGTCCTCTGCTTTCCTCATGGAAAACATTTGCTGCAGAAGACTTCAGAAAGTAGCTTAAAAAATACAATGGACTTATCTGGGATAAGGTAAGGCCTTGATATCCTTTGTGTAATTATTATTTAACTTGAAATTCTATTAAATCTTATTTAACAGTAAGGCTCATTAAAACTAGATTTTTGACTGTTTGTTGTGAGACTATAATAAGCTACCTTTCAGGTTCAAAGTTCTCACTCTCATGATAGTTTTATTGCTGGCAGAAGGAAAAGATCCAAAGGACACTTGGTATTAGGTTACAAAGCATGTGTAAAAGGCTATTCTCTACATATAATGATACATATTTTAAAATGTCATTAACTTCATATAAAATACTTTATTCCAATCCATAGATTATAATACAATGTACAATTACCACATACAGTTTAAAAAGAGTATTTAATAAAATGTAAAATTATTTAAACTAATGCAAAATATTTTTGTTACAAGGACAAAATATCCCCATGTAATGATGTGGAGGAAATGTTTATGATGTTGGGTTGCATTTAATCTCCAGAGTATTTTTCAGAGCTGTCTTCTGTGTTTTCCATAAGAATTCAGTTTTATGGGAATTGGTAGAATCCTCCTTTTTCAGAACAGGTTTTAAATATTTGGCAAGAACAGCAAACTAAGTTGGTCAGGAGAACAGATAGCACAAGATACCTTGTACACTGCTGCTCTGACAGAGACAGGCTTGTCAGCAGGGTAAGATTTTTAGAACGGCTGTCATGTTTGAGGCTGAAATTATATTAGTGCTGATTGGAGGGAAGTTACAGTAATATATTTCAGGTGTTGCCTCCATTCAACTAAGTCTTTTCATACTACATATCAAAGCCCAACTTTGTTGTTAGCAATTAAACTTTAATCAGCTTTAATCATGCAGATACAGTATATCTAATGCCCTGTACTTGAAAGTCTATCAAAGTATCCCCAAATGCAAAAAATGGCTTGGTGAATACATTTTACATAATAACCTAACATGCTTTTTTGTATAAAAAGTAGGAGCTAACACACTTGAGAAATGATGCCATTGATTGTCTGTTTTGGCCTTAACTTTAAATGAAATTATCTAATCATTAAAAACACTTCATTTTCCATTGAATCTTACCTATCTATAGTGCAAATATGCCCAATAAGTTCTTTTTTGTGCTATATCCCCATGGTATTGCCTTCAGTCCATGAGTGAGAAAGCCCCAAGTCATCCTTGGCTGATCTGGTGTTGTTGTTTTTTGCTTTACCTTGGCATGGCCCAAGGACAATCTGGCCATATCACCCATTATTAAGGAAGTCAAGTGATTGCCATTATTTGAATGAGAAACAATAGGAACTGGCAATGGGAACAGAAAATTGTATGCTAGTATAGTTATTTTTATCAGCTAAAGGCTGAATGGAGATTGCTTCAACTCCGTATCAAAGGAAAAACTCATGCTGTTCCTGTTCTGAATGTATTAAATAACAATCCATGGATGGGTATTCCTATAAATCATGGATTGGAGTGGAATATTGGTTCTGATTTTTTCCTCTATAAGTGTGCTTTTTTATCATCTAAAGCATGTGTACTGATGTTGCCTGCAGGGTCCAGGGAATAAGGTTCTTGTCCCTATCCACATTCTCAAGAGTGGTTTTTGGAATTGGTCAAGGAGGAAATAATGGTGGAAATAAAAAGCTGAGCCTAAGAGATGTGCTTGAACGCATCCGGAAGAAAGAATGCCACAGGATAGTAGTGATGGCTGGAGCAGGACTCAGTACGCCAAGTGGGATTCCAGATTTCAGGTACTGTATGGAACTACTCATATGGCTTTGCCAGCTTTAACCAAATAAGCATCCACATCACCAAGACATAGGAATGGTCAGCCATGAAACCTGTTTTCAGTAGGTGTCACACTGTCACATAGCTTTTATCATGGTTAAATATCAGTGGCTCAAAGAGAGCTATTATTTTGGAACTGTAGGGAAATGTCAGTGTTATTTTTCTGCCTCTCCCAACACAGAGCCTTGTTTCCTTAGGCTACATTAAAAGGTTATACCTCAAAAGTTTCTTTGGAGATTCTCAAGAATGATTGTATTGTTAACAATAATTTTAGTATTATTGATCAAGAATCATTTGGCCTTTTATTTTCCTTTTTTCTCATTTGATTTTGATGTTCTAAGACATTAACACACTTCTTATTTATTTATTTAGTTAGTTAGTTAGTTAGTTAGTGTTCAATCAGATTTGATTCCTGGTTATGTTGGTTTCAGAACTGGTTTGGCATTGCCATTTTCTTAAGGTTGAGAGGGAATGACTGGCCAAAAGTTATCCAGCTGGCTTTCATGCCTAGATCAAGACTAAAACTCATGTTTCCCCACTTGTGAGCTAACACTTTATCCACCAGATCAAACTGACCTGAATTTATAAATTAGTTGCAAATTAAAAATCCTCTTATTTTATAGTTGGTCCTCACTGATAGTAATTGGGACACGAACTAAATGACATGGTTGCAAAGTGTGCTGATTTACAATGGCAGTTCCAGCAGTCATTGTCATTTGGTGAATGGTCAATAGCATCTGACAGTCACGTGTTTAACATTAGTGGCCTCTTGCGGGCTTCCTCATTGACTTTGCTTACGGAAGCCATCAATGAAGGTTTCAAACCACAATGATTTGACTATGACTTGCTGCACTATCATAAGTGCAAGCTGGTTGCCAAGCACTTGAATTGCAATTGTGTATGTGCAGAAATGTTGCAACAGCTGCAACCAAAGGACCCATTTTAAGTACCTCTTGTTCAGATTCACTGTAATTTTAAGCAATTGCTGAGCAAGTAAATGTTACACAAGAACTATCTGTATATGAATTCATTTTACCAGGTAGGCCAGGCGTTTCTGTTGTCTCAGATGATGCTATTGCAAAGTGTTCCTAATCCAGTGCTTGGCTTTATTTTTATTTTTAAATGTATCCCATACAAATAGTGAACCATAAGATAGGGAACCCTTGAATGAACTTGGTTTCCTGGCCTATCATTATTCTAATTTTACTCTACTACTATTTTTGCAGGTCTCCTGGGAGTGGGCTATACAGTAACCTTCAGCAGTACAATATTCCATACCCCGAAGCCATATTTGAACTTAGCTACTTTTTCCAGAATCCCAAGCCTTTCTTCAGGTTAGCTAAGGAGTTGTACCCTGGCAATTACAGACCAAACTATGCCCATTATTTTCTTCGACTTCTGTTTGACAAAGGGCTCCTTCTGCGCCTCTACACACAAAATATTGATGGGCTGGAGAGAGGTGAGCCTCTTGCCACTGGCTCTGAGGAGATAAATTGAAAGCAGATCATACAGCAATAATAATGGTGGTGGTGGTGGTGATGAGAGATCATCCATTTTAAATATCTTTTGAATTGGTGAAGAGTTTGACCAAAACTGATTTTTCTGTCTTGTGTGTTCTAGTTGCTGGGATTCCTCCAGATAAACTAGTTGAAGCTCATGGCACATTTGCTTCTGCTACATGTACTGTCTGTCGAAGATCATATTCAGGAGAGGATTTCAGGGTAAGCCCCAGCACAGCAGATAACAGCACTCCAGGAATAGTTTAAGAATTACATATATCATTTTAAATGCAAATGTACAGTCAACCTGCTTCTGTTGATTCCAGGCCTCCAGAAAGGTAACATTTCAATCCTTGAAATCCTTGTCCTACTAGAACACCAGCTAATGGAGACATCTGCTCTTCATCTTTACCCTTACTTCACAGGGAACATCTCCGTTACCCAACATCTCTCATGAACCAATCCAAGATCATCACCTTCTCTCACATAACAGTGAACTTAGCACTGTGATTTTTCCAAAATGCAAAGCAGACATTGATAAGGACAAAGACAACCAGCCAGTATTGCTCCTCCAATTCCCAGCTTTTCCTGGCTACTCCTATTTCATAGGCTAGGTCAGCTTCCACTGACGAGGCTAATAAATCACAGTAGCTGCCAAACTCACTGGCTCCTCTTTTCAGATGGATCCACATAGTTCAACTAGATCCTAGATCTTTGCTTCAGCAGGCTCATAGGATTGCCTTTGTTTTCATTGCAGTTTTGGTGGTCGCTGTCCTCAGTTGTGATGACAGTCTTCTGGCTTGTGCTGCCTGATTAAGAACTTATATCCCTGTTATCTCATTTCATTTCAGGGGGATGTGATGACTGACAAAATTCCCAAATGCCCTGTTTGCACTGGAGTGGTCAAGCCTGACATTATATTCTTTGGAGAAGAGCTCCCTCATCGGTTCTTCTTGCATTTGGCAGACTTTCCTATGGCAGACCTGCTTTTTATCATTGGAACCTCGCTTGAGGTCTGGCTATCATGAGCATGGGAAGAGACTAAGAGATGGGTTTTTAAAATAAAGTGATTCAGAGACTGGAGAACAGAGAGAAAAGCCATGAGAAGTCAAGGAAATGAGAGGGTGGCAGTTCAGCGATCATCAAAAGAGATGGGAAGGAATTTCAGAGTTTTAAGTTCATTATACTATACATCAGGGGTATCCAACCTTGACAACTTTAAAACCTGTGGACTTCAGCTCCTAAAATTCCCCATACTGGCTGAGCAATTCTGGGAGCTGAAGTCCATGAGTCTTAAAGATGTTAAAGTTGGGTACCTCTGCTGTAAAGCCTTAAAAATTCATTATCTTCAGCTATTTTCTCCCATAGGAATAATATTGCAGGCCTTCTTGCTAAAAGGTTTCACTCAACTATCTTTTAAGGGCTCTTAGGAAAATCAGCAAATAAAGTAAAAGTACTGTATCACATCTTAAATATTGACAGTACCATTTTTAGTATCCTGTGACTTGCGCATGGCTTATCTGAGCACATACAGAGTGGGCAAATTCAGGAGAAGTTTGGTGTGAGCTTTCAGTTTATCACTTGAAGATCTATTTTTTTCTTAGAAAAAATACCCTGAAGTGCAGCAGTTTTTACTTTGTAAGAGAGACAACTCCCTACACTATCTTTTCTATTGCTTTATTTTAGGTGGAGCCTTTTGCTAGTCTGGCAGGAGCTGTCCGTGGTTCTGTGCCCCGTGTTCTGATCAATCGAGATCTGGTGGGGCCATTTGCAGTCCAGTCACGGCACAATGATGTAGCTGAACTGGGAGATGTAATCAGTGGAGTGGAAAAAGTGGTAGAACTGTTAGGCTGGAAAGAGGAGTTACAGCAACTAATAAAAAAGGAAAAAGAAAAGGTATGTCATTTTGCTTTGAAAACTTTGCCTCTCACACTCTTTATTTTGCTGGCTGAAGTTATGAAAACAATACAATTAAGGATAAGACTGTAATTAATATAGACGACACAATTGTTTTATCCATCAAACTATTTATCATAGTGATGTAGGGGTTTTTCCTTACATTTGTTATAGCCACCCAGTTCTATGGGATGCTTTCACTTTCCATCTTGGGTAACTCAAGGGAAATGACTATGTCATCTATCCTATGTGACTATTTATTGCATTTTACGATTTATTTGAGTAACATTTTGCTTTCTCAGAGTGAAACTTGAGATTTGGAAACAATAAAATTATAGTGTGGGTATTCCTTGCATATCAACCACTCATTCAATGACCAAAGGTGCAGTAGAACTGAATGAATGGTACTTTAGTTCCTCTAATTTCCTGCCATTGCAGCGCCCTAGAGGAACACGATTGTTATTTGCTTGCTTGGCAACCAGCTCACACTCACAAAAGTTGCAGCATCCTGCAGCCTCATGATTGCCATTTGCACCTTCCCTACAGGCTTCTCAGAAGCAAAGACAATGGGGAGTTGGCATGGAAGGTTCTGGTCAGTCTCCCACCTTCTCCTCACTGCACCTCACCCTCCTTTTGGATTCCCTGCCCTTGTATCAACCTGTACCTTCCTTCCCTGTGTGTCACTATACTCGTGTGAACCTGTGCCCCCTTCTCTTGGCCTCCCTGCACTCAGTTTACCACACCACACTCCCAACTCATGTGCAGCCTGTGCCAATTATGTAAAATGAGTATCACTCTGTTTTGAGAGAAGGCCATGCAGGTATATGTTAAACATATTTTGTCTGACCCAGAATGATATGATGCAAAACGCCAGTCCATTGTGCTCAGGTTCAAGTAAATAAAAGAAAGGAGAAAAAAAACACACCCAAAAGTTTGGTGGTTCGAATCCCTATTACAGGTCTCCTGCATGAGCAAGCAGTTGGACTAGATGACCTCCAAGGTCCCTTCTGACTCTTTTACTGTTTAAAATTGGTTCTTGTGTTTATTTTATCATTTCGCAGTAATGTTTTTAACTACAATCTCTACTTCCCCACTTACATTTTGGGGGGGGGTGTCTCAACAATTGGTGTGGGTTGTAATAATCCATGTTTTTTGTATTTTCAGCTGGATATAAAGAAGAAGTAGAAGTGTATTATCTACTTTTGAAAAGATTTAACTCCTCAAAAAGTAAAGTGTGCCTCAGCCAAAGGTTATAGTGATAAATTGACCGGGGTGAAAATGGGTGTTGGTTACTTACTTGATACGCCCTTTCTTGGGACGGTGGAGACATCATCCAGGCGTGGGGGTATGATTCCATCAGGATCCAATCCAACTGGGTTTACAAGCATTAAAGACAGGCCCACGGGGCTCCTCCTACCCAGCTTAGATGAAGGCGTGACTTGTAGACCGCTGTGTAAACAGTCTCAGATGATAGATATTATCTCTCCTCAAGGTAAGAAAACAGAAAAATCAAGGATTAAGTCATAAAGAAAGGGTGGGGCTGGATGTCGTCTCCACTGTCCCGAGAAAGGGCGTATCAGGTAAGTAACCAACGCCCATTCTCCTAGTAGGTGGAAACATCATCCAGGCATGGGACATACCAAAGCCCAATCTGTCCCATTGGGAGGGTCCTGAATAGAATTTAATAATCCTAAGTAGAAACCACTCGCTGCAACACGTGCCATCTGAATGAAGCGTCAGCTGAGGCGTATCTGTCGAACTTGTAGTGGCGGATGAATGGAGAAATAGTAGTCCACACAGCCGCTCAACAAATTTCTTCTAACAAAGCTTGAGATGACCAGGCAGCAGAGGTGGCTGCGCTGCGGGTGAAGTGCGCAGTGATATGGGGCGGAACAGGCAGAGAAAGTGCAGAGTAGGCCCTAGAAATAGCAGCTCATACCCAAAGACCAATGTCAGAAGAAGAGGCCTTGGAGCCTTTCCTACCTCCCAGCTGGAACTTCACGAAAAGAGCCTCAGAGCGCCTGAAAACGGCAGTTTGTTTAATATAAATGCATAGAGCACGCTGCACATCAAGGTAATGCCACTTACATTCCAGACGATGAAATGGCCATCTCCTCCAAATGCAAGGTCAACCAGATGTTTTTTGGTAATGTCTCTAGAAACCGGACACAGTATGAAAGTCTGCAGTGGACTGGAGAGAAACTCCAGGCAAGGCCAAATCAGATGGTACGCCGGATCCAGGCATCATTGGTGATGTCATCCCAATGATCAGCGAAGGCCGAAAGACGGTCCCCAATTGGGAGGTCCCTGATGGAATTACTTCTGCTTTCGGAAGGAACAGTTGGAGCTGCCCTTGAAGGGCTTTCTGTTGGACACTGGGAATTTCTGTTGGAACTTTCCTGAGACGAAGGGCCCTGTCTCGGGGGAGCCTTGTGTTGAGGACGGGGGTAGGCAAATCCCACGTCAGTCCCTTGAAAGGACGACCTAAGGAAAAATGAAGAGGGTTTAGAATTTGTTTTGCGGTTGGCAGAAGGAAGCACCTTTTGTTTGTCCTTGGACTCTACGAAGAGAGGTTCCAAAGACGGGCCAAAGAGAAGACCAGGAGAAAAAGGAGAAGAAGCTAAACGCCACTTTGCTCTGGCCTCCGCTTGTCATTGCTTCAACCATAAAAGACGTGGTGACTGATGACGCCATCGATTTGGAGGCGAAACGAGCCGCATCCAGAGAGGCATCCACAGCATATTCCATTGCCGCTTTGAGCTTGTTGATGTCCTGATGAGAACAGGAGTCAGCAGGAGGAATTCTGTCCTGCAGCTGCTTCAGGAGAGCCTCACGGAGAGCCGCCCTGTTGAAAAAAGAGGCAGAAGAGGCGGCCTGGACTGCCCATGCGGAGGACTGATGACCTTTAACTAATGACTGTTCATAGTGTTTGTCCTTAGGACGAAGAGTGTCCTCCAGAGTGTTAGAGGCTGCATTAGGTGATAAAAGAGAAACCACAGGTAAGTCGATGGAAGGGACTTCCAAAAGCTTAGAGAGCTCTGGACTGACATTGTACAATTGTTTGTCCAGTGTAGAAGAGAGAGGTCCCACCCCTGGAAATGCCCACTGATTTTGAATTACTTCCAAGAACAGATTTGGGGAAGGAACCACATCACAGGTGGGTGTGAAAAGAGTGGGGTCAGACTTTTCAACCTCTGCAGTTGAGGATGGTTTTGAGGCCAGGATGCCAGAGACCTTTTTGGCCTTGAATAAGAGGGAGTGAAACAAGGCAGGTTTGAAAAGACCCATTAAGGCCGAAGGGGCAGGTGTCAAGTCCTCATCATCCGAAAGATTGGAATCATGGGTTACCTGTTCCTCAGGGTCAGCAGCAAAATGCTGAGAAGTACTTCCAGGAGCCGCCCCTTGAGAATGGGAGGAATGGCCCTTGTTTGACTTATTAAAAGTAGAACACTAAGGGGTGGCAGTAGCAGGTCCCTGATGTTGAACGCATGCAGCAATGCCTCGTTCAATAGCCACTGCTATGATGTCAGCCATATCATTAGGATTGACAGTAATAGTTCTGGGGCAAGGAGAACCCACATCTATGTCCGGGGTGATCCCCTTTGGAATTATACTCCCCTTGAAACCCAATCCCATCCTCAGGGTTTAAGGGGGAAGCAGGAGTGGAGATATCCCCATCAGTATCAGTAGAGAGATCTTCAGGAGGATTGATCATTACTGGAGGAGAAACCAGTGGGGCAGAGATAGAAACAGTGCAATGCTTGGTCTTAGATGTGGCCTTTCATGGGGCAGAATCTGAGGCCTTGTCACAGTCGGAACCAGGGGTAGTTACAGTTGAGGCCTCCTGAGATGGAACAATCTTAGGGGCCTTAACAGGCTTGGCTGTAGGTGGCTGAGAAGCAGTGGTTCTCTTTTTGCTCCTGGGCTCAGGGGACTGAAGGAGAAATGACTGGAGAAGGTGGATTATCCCCCTGTATAATAGTGGTCTCATTGGTTGGCATTACGGTTGAGGAGAGCACCTAAAATAGCCACCGCAGGCTTCTGCCAAAACAAAATGGCCACCCAAGTAGATAGGGCCCTGAGGAAGGGCTGAGGGAGCGAACTGACAAGTTGGCTATTTTGCTAAGTAAAGCGGCCACCTGACGGTCAATTTTGAAGCCAAAGCCGATAATCGGAGCAAAGAAGGCGATCGGAACCATTTTATGTCCCCCGGCAGCTCACCCAACAAAGGGCTGCTCTGAAGCGGCAAACGAGCGGCAGCATACGAAACGTCCTGCACTCCAGCGACTTTTCTGGTGGCATGGCTACAGCGATCTGCAGTTTTTTGAGTGGCATGGCTGCAGCGATGTCGGAAAACCTCATAGGATCATCGCTGAATCTCTGTGTGATGGCAAGTACGAGATAGGGAAGGACTGCAGCCCTCAAGGGGCTACAAGCCCCTAATCAGTTAAATACAAAGCTAAATGAGTTAAATTTGAAGAAAGAAGCCAATTAAAGAAATTTAGAAGTTTTTTGGAGAAAGATTAAGAACGAATTAATTAGATAGGAGAAAAACACAGACACAACTAATTGAAGGATCGACTGAGTCTAAGCTGGGTAGGAGGAGCCTCGTGGGTGTGTCTTTAATGCTTGTAGACCCAGTTGGATTGGATCCTGACGGAGTCATACCCCCATGCTTGGATGATGTCTCCACCTACTAGGAGAAGATGGGGTTTTTTGTTCATTTAGTAGGCTACGGTAAGAACTATCTGGAGATAGTAATTTAACTCTTTGGGCATTTTGACGCCTCAGAGAAGGGCAAGTTCTCAAGCCTCTTGGGGAAATGAAAATAAAATAATAAACCTCTGGTCCCGGTGACCAACCAAGATTGGATCCTGCAAATAATTTGAATTTAATTTTCTATGAAGATAAGCTGTAAACATTTTCAATGTAACTGCTACCTCCCTTTTAGAAGGCATTAATTTTCTCCCATTATTTTTTTTTTACTTTTCCCACTTGGATTATTTCTGAATCATTTAAAAAGTATCACAGAACTGGGGTGTTTTAGTCAGAACCTCAACAAGAGTATTATTTCATTCATACTGAATCCACAATTTTCTACCCACTTGGAAGAAATCAAATTGGGACTGCAGTTTTTATCAAAAGTGAATTCCAGCTTTATTTATCAATGTGTGAAGAAAAAGTTCTTAAAATAGTGTATATTAATTCGCAGATATTACTTATGTAACTTGAAAAGATAACTTGTTTATGCATCAACATTTCTAGTAAGAATGAGCATATACAAGAATGCTATACTGTAGCTGCTGGATGAATGTGTGGCACTTGCAACTACAGTTCAATTTAAAGCAAAATAAAATGCATTTTAACAATAGCTCAATATTTCCTTTGTCTAATTAAAGCTTTTATTCTGATTTTGATTTTATTTAATACTTATATTTCAAAACATCCTTATAATTTGGTTTCATCAAACAATTCAACCATTCAGTAGAGTCAACATCAGTTAACTAGTTTCCTGTTTATTATCTTCTTAAAGGAGATGGTGGTGTGCCTTTTAAGGATTTTTGGTTTCATTTTATAGTAGTCATAATAATAGTGAAGCGCTCTTCAGAAGTTTGTTGGTAAGACTACAACTCTCAACAGCCTTAGCCAAAATAGGCTAAGGTAAAAAAAAATGTTTTGAAATGTAATCCAGCAAAATCTGAGGAAAATCACAAATTCCTCTTTCTTGCCATGTTATCTTCATAAACTGTGACAAATTCCCTTATTCAAATTTTGAAGTGGCTGAAAGATCAGTAAATCAGGTTAAATTTTCCAAACAAACTAGCACTACAGATTGAACATATAATTAATGAAATTTATATTTTGTTCTTCCCTTATCAATTGAATATTGTCTTGACTGTAATATTTCTGTAAATGGAATCATCTACATTGATTTCAGCTATGCCTTACATCTTTTTATAAATATCCATTTTTATGAATCACCATCCAAATAAGTATAGACAAAAATACACATCTTGGTATTGGAAGGCTTTGTTTATTCCAATGAAAAATTTTAATTTACATTTGTGCTAAGTTTTGAATTGCTAGTAAAATGAAAACAAGCTGGGAAATGGAATTCCTTTCTAAACCAGGAAGGTTTAAATTCAGGTAAAGGATG